CACATGGAAGGGCATAGTCTTCAGCACAGAAGTTTGGGTGGAGGAGTTCTTGGTTTCTCCAGCATTGCCACATCCCAAGGCCTGCTGCCTGTGACTGCAAACTGGTATAGCGGGCCACAGGGAAAACCCCAGAAGAACAGCATGTCCACCAAGGCTGTGCATCAGCCCTGGCATAAAAAAACATGGAAAGGGATTTCAGGCTGATTCTACACCACCACCACCCCCACACACCCCATGCTTGCTCTAAGCTAGGTATAGCTACGGAAATAAGTCCCTTCTGTAAAAGGAGATCTTGAAGTCAATCAGACCTACACATTCTTTTCACAAAGACCTGAAGAATCGTTTTTTTCTGAATTTTCTTGATTACAATATAATGAAATATTCTGGACTCTTTGAGATATCTTTTTTTTTCCTCCCCAGAAAGAAATGGTTATAGGTTTGAAACGGAATCTCATTTTTTTTTAAACTACTGCTTAAAAGCACCCTGTTGCATCTGAAGTAATGGCTGATTCCACTTTCAGAATATTTTTTTAAGCTACTGCACTGGTGAGAGCTTCTCTTGAACTCCAAAAAGAAAACTAAACTGAGTCACTGCATGCAAGCTTCCTCTGCTTACAGAGATGACATTTTCCTTATAAAGTACTTTGTTTTTATATCAAGGGATAGAACCTTAGATTCTGCATTCAAAGCACTGGATAATGAAGTTGCTAAAGTTAAGTTGCAGTAATCGTACTCTCCATGGGGTTTTGGATGTCACTATAGTCACCTTTTTTCTTTCAAAATATACTTTTCATTGTTCTACTGCCCTTTTTCCAATTGCTCTGCAGCCAAGTTCTTGGAAAGCAATCACGCTTCTTATTTAGGATTTATTGCCAATAAGGACATGCACAAATCTCTCCTGTGATCATCCTGCAAAAGCAAGCTAAAAATATAGCAATTTATAGAGAGGCACATTTCACATGTTATATGGCATCAGTGTGCACTCATCAAAAAATTCTGAGATATATAAAAGCAGATCGCCCCTTTTGGCTAGGCCGATCAAAGGCTCTGCTTGGGTGCCATAAATAAATTTATTTTAGAATTCCAGTCTACCTAAAAAGGAAGAAAAAAAAAAAAAAGAAAAAGCATTTGCATTGTATTTTAGTGGTTGAAGGTTGGTGGTTTTTTTCCTTTTACCAGGTTTACATGGTAAACTTTGCACTTTAGAAACCCCAGGTCTGAGAAAAACAATAGCCTATCTTCCAAACCAGCCCTTTTAAATCTAGTAACTGTGATGTGACTTTGTTACCATTAAAACTTTTAAGTGGTAGGAATTGTCTGTTTGTACAAATCTGTAAAGGATTTTGCAAGTTCAGAGTCATGTTGTATTTGGGTTTTGAAATGCACTTCAGGTTGTCTAAGAAAGCTCACGCACCCAGAAACAGCAGGTACCATGAAGCTGATCTTACGGCTAGGAAGGAATGGATCGTGATGAAGAGTATCTAGGTAATCTCCATATCCTGGTCATGCTTAGCTGACTATATTGTTTGTTCTTTGTACAAACATCACAGTTTAATCATCAGCCTCTTTGAAGGATTTGTCTTTCACCAGCCTATCACTTCTGACAGGCAGGGGTAGATTCATGTCTCTATGGATAGGTTTTAAAGCTTCTCTGCATTAGGGCTGATAGAGATCCTGTGAAATGTTGGGAGACTCAGTCCTTGGTCTCTCCTGGACCCCTCCAGTGGCTCCTTGGTTCTCATGCTGTCCTCTGTCAAACCACCTTAAATTGGGAAAATGAACTGGGATTCAGTCACCAACCTGGATTCACTGCTAGCAGTGTGGTGCATCTCTGGTATTACTGGTGGCTAGATGATTCTGTGGTTCAGACACAATTGCTGAGACTCAGAAACAAGAAGGCTAATGAAAAGATCCAGATAAATGTTTCACCACCTCATTTGAGGTTGAGTGAGAACCCCAAATTATAACTGCAATTATTATTTGGCTTTTCTTTTTAGGACTTTCATCTTTCTTGTCTTCCCGTCTCTCCTTATTCTTTTCCCCAGGCAATACAAGATGGTCCCAAATACCTATTTGGTTCCTATAATTAAGCTGGATGTATTTTCTATTCAGTCCTAAAACGGACTAGTGATTTGTGAAATGGGATTTTGCATTCAAGAAACAAGAAATGATAATTGAGAAAACAGCATAAATTTATTCCTAATAAATTATAAATGAACTTTCAAATGTAATAGAACTCAATTTTTTACATGTTCAGACTGGCAGAATTCTGAGCATAACAAGTAACTTGTGTGTAATTTTGTGTCAAAAACTTCATATTCTGCAAAAAGATGAAGGTTTCCTGAAATTTATTCTCTGCTCAAAATTATTCAGTGAAATACATTTTTGTATGTGAACTGAATTTACTCTTTTTGTTGCTCTAATAAGATTACTCATGTATCACATGGCATCAGTTAATTCTGGGTGTGCTTCTTGTTGTAATCATCAGGATTCGACTGCAAGTATTTGTATAACAGTTATAAAATTTGCTTCTTGGTATTTCAGCTAAAAAAATTCACTTTGCGTCAGGGGTTGCTTTAATACAATTTAGTCACAAACGAAATTACACAAGGGACCACAGAAAAACCGCTAGCAAGGCCAAAGCAAATGAGTTGCAAAATTTAAACCAATATTTGCTAGAAAATGTTTGTGGTAGTCACTCAGCCCTATTTCCAAGTCCCTTACAAAAGTCCTCACCGTTGGACTTAATGTTTCAGGTCTACCTAAACCTCCCTTTGACACTAGTCTGAAATTTCTCTTTTGCTACTGATACCAGGTTTGTGTTCCCCTTGCAATTGTGATAAAACTACTGCTTTTAGTAACATCTGAGAAGTAGATCCCATCATTTTCCTCCTTCTAACATTAAGCATCACGTTGCAGGCATCAACCACTGTGTAATAGAGCTAATACAGCTTTTACTTTTGACTTAACAAGTAGAAACATGCATGTATGTACTTGGCTTTGGCTACATATTCACCCAGCTAAATCTATTGATGGAGTCTACAGGACTATTTTTAGATACCATAATCCTCAATATATTAACTTGCTTTTATTCTTGGTCTTCCATATGTTGTCCGTCTTCTTCATTTGCAGCGATATACACCTACATTACTCATCCAAATTTTAAGAATGCTTTACTCACAGCAGCTTGCAACAATAACTAAAGATGTGGAAATGTACACAACACAGACATAATACTTGTGGCTCTGATGTCAGGTACATAACTTATCCTTTGTTCTTAATTTCAAAAAATTTCATGCCCCCTCCAAAAAAATCTTTCAAAATAAAGAAGCACCAGGCCTCAAAAAAATGTTATCGGAACTTCATACATGGGTAAAAGTTGGAATATAGTTTGGAGCAAATCTTCATAAAGTTCTGCCATTTGGATTATAGCTAACAGCTTTTTAAATACAACTTTAACACAATAAAACAACATTACTGTTACCATCTTGCTGAGGATGGTAGAAAAAGACCATAAAACGGAGTGGCACATTTAAAGTTACTTGCAAAATGTTGGCTCTCTGAAAACAATAACTGTAATTAATACCATTCCTTTAAAGTATTCCTAAAGTCTACCGAAATCTAAACCAGTATTGTATTGCTGGTAACAACTGCATTCTAAACAATATTAAAAATGAGAACAGAAAATAAAAATTCTCCCTCAGAAGTCAAAAAGTTATGATTTGCTGATCTGGTGAATAGAATAACACCTTTACCCTTATTATTTATAGAGCTTTTTGGGAAGGTTCTCGGGACTTTACTCTTTAGCTAAGCCTCGCAAGTTCAACAGCCCATGAGTTATATAAACAGTATTTTACAATGATGTGAACTATTTTCCCAGCAAAGGTTTGCTCCCAGGGAGGACTATTTGAATAATTTCTTTTACAAAACTAATATTGCTTTACTTGTACTGCCATCGCTTCAGGGTGACCAACACTGAAGTCCACCCGAGCGGTCCCTGGCCTTGCTAGCAGGCAGCTCCAGGCACTTCAGAGGACAGTGGGGGGAAAAAAAAAAAAACAACAAAACAAACCCAAACAGGCTACAGGGTATACCGCACCTGAAAACGGTCTGGGCAGTATTTTCAGGGAACAGGAGTTTGAGCAAAGGCTTGGGAAAAGGTCTTATTTTAAGCAGTAAGCAAGTGAATAAATACATACGTAAAACTGGGTTGCAACGGGCAGAACCGATGGCACCCTGGCAGCGATGCTGCAACCCTGGGACGTTGCTACTTGTGCGCGGCGCCCAGAGCTCCCCGAAGGACGGGCCCTCTTTTTAAAAGAACTATAAAAATTATATAGCCATAGGATACACACAACGGCGCATGTATCTCACAGGAAGAAGGGAACTGAACCCAGAGGATGTCTAACCAACCTGTAGAGTCTGAGCTGAGCTATTTATAGGATCTCCCATTTAAAAAAAGAATGAATGCCAAGACAGATTCACGCAGTATGTCCCGCAAGACAGTTTTTGAAAGCTGATATAGAGCAAGATGGGACATACATAATCTGTAGGAAAGTTTGAAGTCAGTAACAAAGAGCTGGAAATACGTATTCATTTTAAGCAGAAAGTCCTTGGATAAACTCTAAGCTGTACTTTTTCCTCACCCAACTTGTTCATTGCCTTGTAGCAAAATGATACTGGTGTCCACAGTAACAATATTCAGGTAAGAATCCTTTGACATCACCAAGAATACAAAAAAAGCACCTGTCAGAGTTCATGGACTCCTGAAGTCTGCAGTGGGATGAGGCTGTCACAAATGTACATGAATTGACATAATCAGTCACAGCTACCACCTTTTCCTGCAGTCCCTCATCTGTCTAGATTTTTTCCTCCATTCTTCTCATATTAGCAAATTCCTCATGCTCATTCTTTGTTGCAGTCATGGACCAGGGTACAAACCCCAGGCAGGATCACAGACCCACCCCCCCCCCCCCCCCCCCCCCCAGCCGCTCTCTCACCTTCCCTGGCTTTCAGCAAGACGGTGTTGGCAACGATGTTTTCCAGCTCCATTGACGAGCTCGGGTAGCGCAGGCAGGCAGCGGCACTGCAGCAGGACGTCACTCCCGAGGTGCGGAGTCTCCGGGCGCCCACCCGCCCCCTGTCCCTAGCGCCTCACACCCCCAGGCATGGTCCTGCCTGCCCTGCCGCCCTGCTCCTCCGCGCTCCCCCGGCGCTCCCCGCGCTGTCTGCTCCCGCGGCGC